GAAAAGAGATACATTGTATCTCTCCCTCTCTCCTTGCAGAGAGAAAAAAAATAATCATAATATTAAAAATAATAATAATGAATAAAAAAAATAAATAAATTAAACAAACTTTAACAATTAACCAGATCAAGGTTTGATCTAGGTCAGTGCCATGGTTAGTGTTTCGGTCAAGGTCAGGGTTAGTGTATTTTAGGTAGAATTACAAAAAAAAGTACAAAATGGCACTATTGTTTCTGGGCTGCACTACGGGTACAAACAACAACTAACTTATATATATGTGGTATCGCTGTGAAAATTTTTTTTGTGTTGTTCTTTGGCGGTAGGTTATGATATTAGCAAGAAATATACAGCTACTGTACATTAAAAAAAAATATTTGTTTTTACTATTTTACACTAGGTTTTTTCATAATGATAAAAATAAAATTCAGCAGATATCCATTACCAGTCACCACCATATGACAGCTCAATTTGTTCTGAAAAAAACCAAGATGTAATTCACCTGGATTCACAAAGTAGTTGTGATGGTATATATGGTTTTACTAATGTTGCAAAATTGTGCTTAATGTTAAGATTTGTTTTACTGTTAGGTGTATTGGGGTTATGAAAAGGGCATTTTTATTAAATATAATCCTTAACAATATTGCTTGTCACAGGAAACTTTGTGAGCATATACAGCCAAACAATATACAAACTATTTCCTTTACTAAAGCATACAGCTGCTGTCAGTGATTTATAAACTGTATGCAGAATCAGCTATATACAGTATACAGCACTGTTTTCCAGCAGTAGTATGGGACTTCCTGTCTGTTGTTGGAACAAAACTGAGTCTGGCTGAGTGATCCATTCACAGGAAGCCTTGTACTTTACCAATAAATACAAGACTTCTCCGTTTGGCTGAGGTGGAGATGCAGGTGGATGACATCATGATCTTCACCTCATCCAATATGAGGAAGTCTTCTAGTCATCCAATGACATTGACAGCATCAGGAGTGTGTGCACTTGATGTGTGCACAGATATAAACAAAGGAGGATGTCCAGGTATGTCCTCCCAGAACAATAGGACAGTGTGTAGGTGGGAGCCATGACATGAGGCAACCATACCATATGTGCCACTACAACAGCTATGATAAATGTGAGTTTGCCACCCACAGGAAGCGATATGTTGAATCATCCTTTCGGGTCCTACGTTACAAAGATACAATCTCCTCTCCAACCAGTGACATGGGTTTGATCCTAACCATCCTGGCTAGACTACAGAGCATTTTGATGTTAACCATGCAGAACAAATAGTACCATCTACCAGTTCTTTAGCACAATATTCTTGTCGTGCTCCAACCCATAGGTTTAGGAAGGGAACCACCACACACTTGCAAGGCCTTGCTTCTTTCATGTCACAGGCCTGGTCCCTAGAAAAGCTCCGTTCTGCAGCAGCCCAAGTATAGGGACTCACCACTGAGATTTGCATACCCAAACATACATCAAGCCACCCTTCTGGCAGGAGCCCTCTGTCACCAGCCACCACCATCCCTGTTCTAAACTAGCTGCTCTTCTACCTGAATCTCACTGTTACACAAGCACTTGAAAGACTTGTTCAATGACATTCTCTTCCTCTCATTCACACACTACGATGGCACACACAACCTTATCTTCACTAAGTTACCAGACAAGACTTTTGCAGAATAAACAAACTTGTTTACTGCCTGTCCCCCAATGGTCAGACTTGCTGACACCCCCCCTCCTCTCTCCGCATAGTCATTCATTGGGAAGATTTGTGTACTGAAAGCGCTGCGCAAACTTTTGGCGCTATATAAAATCTTGTATAATAATAACATATATACATGTGTAGCACCCTTCTAGTCAGGTGCTAAGATGTGTATAGTTAGAATAGTACAGCTGTGTTTCTCTTTTTACCAGAGAGGTTGTCAGGTAAATTCAGTGTGGTATTCTGCCTAACAGAGTGCTGTGATTGTTTAGTCAGGTCTGCTTATGAGGCTCTGGTGTTGTTTGCATTTGTCTGTGTTCCACCTGTTTTCAGGAAGCTATGAGAGCCTTCCAGAACATAGGTAGGGGCTAGGCCAGGGGTGGGCAATTTCATCCCCCCTATAGTAATTCATCCCCCATATAGTAATTCATCCCCCATAGTAATTCATCCCCCTATAGTAATTCATCCCCCCTATAGTAATTCATCCCCCATATAGTAATCATCATAACCCCCATATAGTAATTCATCCCCCATAGTAATTCATCCCCCATATAGTAATTCATCCCCCATAGTAATTCATCCCCCTATAGTAATTCATCCCCCCTATAGTAATTCATCCCCCATCATAGTAATTCATCCCCCCCTATAGTAATTCATCCCCCCCTATAGTAATTCAATCCCCCATAGTAATTCATCCCCTATAGTAATTCATCCCCCCCTATAGTAATTCATCCCCCCTATAGTAAATTCATCCCCCATATAGTAATTCATCCCCCATAGTAATTCATCCCCCCTATAGTAATTCCATCCCCCCATATAGTAATTCATTCCCCCATATAGTAATTCATCCCCCATAGTAATTCATCCCCCATATAGTAATTCATCCCCCCTATAGTAATTCATCCCCCATATAGTAATTCATCCCCCATATAGTAATTCAATCCCCCATATAGTAATTCATCCCCCCATAGTAATTCATCCCCCCATGTAGTAATTCATCCCCCCTATAGTAATTCATCCCCCATATTAACTAAGTCCCCAAAGTCCCCCCCTGTGTCAATTCACTTACCTTTGCTCCGTGCGTTCCTCTCGCTGTGTTCCCCGGCGCCGTTCCGTGTAGTATGAAAATCTGTCTCCTATGAGGATCTGTCCCCCTCGACGTATCTGCGCATGTGCCAGTTTCAGGCATTAGCAGCCGATCGGTCGATCTCCGGCACATGCACAGATACGTCGAGGGGGACAGATCCTCATAGGAGACAGATTTTCATGCTACACCGGTCTTCAGGCGGACTGTGAAAGGAGCCTAGCTCCCCACGCTCCGCGGGCCGGATTAAAAGGTCCCGCCGGTGCCGTATACGACCCGCGGGCCGTAGTTTGCCCATTGCTGGGCTAGGCAAATGAACAGCATGAATATGGATACAGCCCTGGCCAATTGTAGGGAGGGTGACTTCAATGCATGCTGGGAGTGTGTTTATGTTCTGTGAGCACATGGGTTAAGCGTCTTTCCCAGGAGTGGATTGCACAAAGGCAGGCTGCCTCATCTGCCACTTGCTGCCATGTGGCCTCAGGTGGGTGACCCGAGGGCCTGAAGTTAGAGAGAGTGACCTTGGTCCTACAGTAAGCTGACTGAGGGGAGCTGTCTGCCAAAAAATCTGTCTGGTATCACTGGAGAGAGTTGCTTGGAAGTTTGGAAGGAAGCAACCATTCTGCCCTTGGGCTTGTGAGTACTGACACAGAGATATTGTGGACTGTGTGCTTTGCTACCCCTCTGGTGCTTGATAGTCAGCGTAGGTCTGAGAAAAGGGAACACTGGCTAGTGTTTCTGAAGAACTTGTCTAACTGTTGCTACTGCAAAGGACTTTGCTCAGTTTTCTTTTGGACTGCCACAGTCTGCTGTAACAGGCCTGTATCTGAGGAGCTTAACCCCTGCTACTTCTACTACTGCTAAAGGGACTTTGCTTACTCCTGAAACTACTTGTTGCTACACTTTAAAGAGAAGTCTGCAATATGCTTTCAGCCAGGACTTAAATAGCGCTCAACTAAGAGATCAGATAGATGTCCTCAGTGTGAATAGTTTTGATTTTGCTGTATCCTACTACAATTCCCCATCCCTATCCCCAATTCTACAATAAAAATCCAAAAACAAATATCCCCTAGACTGGTTATTGAAGACAATGAGCGGAAGTGTGTGTGTGTTTGGCTGAAGAAATACACTGTACCTGGCTGCGAGGCAAAGTATGGGGGAAACTGAGGCAAAAATACAAGCAGCCCTTGCGAGTGTAGTGCTACACACACACACCAAAGTTTTGCCCTTCATTTCCATTTTAAACTGAATGGGATGTTTTACAAGGTAAGTGTTCACATATACTTTTATGGTTATGGAATAACTTTGCAGTTCCTTGAATTAGAAGACACAACCGTTGGTTGAACTTGTACCAATATTAACCAGTTCCCACACAGCTTATAGCTAAATGACAGCTGGGCAGGCCATTCAGCATTCCAGATGGACTTCATATGAAGTCCTCCCCAAATGCACCTTGCACATGCCCCACGGGCTGCGCTGTGGCGAGATTTTTCACCCACAGTGACAGATCTGTGTACCGGCCATCTGCCTGTACCATGTGATCGCTGTTACCGATCACAGCAGATCACATAACAGTTGTACACAATAGATAGCATTCATTCATGCCATGCCATTGATTGTGTGCTATTGTGTTGTTCTATGTGATTGGTCACAGTGATCACATGGTACAAGAAGGGCCACTCATAACTCATCTGTACCATGTGATTAGCTGTGGCCAATCACAGTTAACCACAATAGTAAACTCTAAATGAGTCCATTAAATTCAGTGAAAATGATTGGTTATAATGGTGAAATTCACTGGTATATACGCAATCATATTGTGTAAAAAAAAAATACTGATCACTTCCCTGAATAGTACAATCTTACTATAGTAACATTATATTGCTCTGGTCACAGTGTGTTAAAAAAAAATCATAAAAAAAAAAGGAATTGAATAAAAAAAGAAAAAAAAATTCATAATATAATTTTTTTTTCACATATTGTCAGCAGTCCGTGTCCTTGATCACCACCACACCAGTCATATGCTGACACTGTACTGCACTGGTGACAGTATGTAAAAAAAAAATTGTGACAAAAGGTTACAACCACAAAAAACTAGTCAAGCCTCTTACTAAACACCTCAGGCTGTCTACTTTCCAAAAAGGTGTCATATGGGGGATATTTGTCCTGTGTGTATATATGTGTATAAAAGTGTATAAAATCAAGCACCTAGGCATGCAGACTGCTTCTAAAAACATTTGTGAAAGAATGGGTCGCTCTCAGGAGCTCAGTGACTCCAAGCATGGTACTGTGATAGGTTGCCTCCTGTGCAATACGTCCATTCGTGACATTTCCTGGCTACTAAATATTCCACGGTCAACTGTTAGCTGTATTATAACAAAGTGGAGGCAACTGGGAACAACAGCAACTCAGCCACCAAGTGGTAGGCCACGGAAAATGACAGAGTGGGGTCAGCGCATGCTGAAGTGCACAGAAGTCACCAACTGTCTGGAAGTCTTTAGCTATTGACTCTGCAAACTTCACGTGGCCTTCAGGTTAGCACAACAACAGTTCCCAGAGAGCTTCATGGAATGGATTTCCATGACTGCGAAGCTGCATCCAAGCCTTACATCACCAAGTGCAATGCAAAGCCTCGGATGCAGTGGTGTAAAGCACGCCACCACTGGACTCTAGAGCAGTGGAGACTTGTTCTCTGGAGTCACGAATCACACTTCTCTGTCTGCCAATTCGATGGACGTGTCTGGGTTTTGACGGTTGCCAGGAGAATGGTACTTGCCTGACTGCTTTATGCCAAGTGTAAAGTTTGGTGGAGGGGGATTATGGTGTGGGATTGTTTTTCAGGGGTTGGGATTGGCCCCTTCGTTTCAGTGAAGGGAACTCTTAAGGCGACATTTTGGACAATTTAATGCTTCCAACTTTGTGGGAAGAGTTTGGGGATGGCCCCTTCCTGTTCCAATATAACTGCACACCAGTCCACAAAGCAAGGTCCATAAAGACATGGATGAGTGAGTTTGGGGTGGAGGAACTTGACTGGCCTGCACAGAGTCCTGACCTCAACCCCATAGAACACCTTTGGGATGAATTAGAGAGGAGACTGTGAGCCAGGCCTCCTCCCCCGACATCAGTGCCTGACCTCACAAAAGCACTTCTGGAAGAATGGTCAAACATTCCCATAGACACCCACCTAAACCTTGTGGACGGCCTTCCCAGAAGAGTTGAAGCTGTTATAGCTGCAATGGGTGGACCAACTCAATATTGAACCCTACGGACTAAGACTGGGATGTCATTAAAGTTCATGTGCGTGTAAAGGCAGGCCGACCAATACTTTTGGAAATATAGTGTGTGTGTGTATACACACTGATTTGGGTTATTTTCACCTAATAAATGTAGCAGAATACAGTTTGGCCTAAATTTATGAAGAAAGATTATTTATTTGCAAAATTTTATGACTGACATGAAGAAAACCAACCTAAACCATCTGAGTATGTGGTAAGATACCGCACAGCTACTAAAAAACCGCATGTGTTATATTATTAAGTTATGCGGTATTTTAGTAGTGAAACATTCTTTAATGTTTTAGGTGTCAGCAGAGTTCCCCTGCTGACAGCTGAATGTAAAAAGACATTTTTTCTAAAAATGCGTGGGGTCCCCCTCCATCCATATCAAGCCCATAGGGTTTAGTATGGGTTTTGAGGGGAAACCCCACGCCAAAAAAAAGAGTGTGGGGGCCCCCCCAAAAGCCTTACCAGACCCTTATCCGAGCATGCACCTCAGCAGGTCAGGAAAGGGGGGACCATACCAGGCAACATGGCCTGAACATGGGGGGGTGCTTTGGGGCAGGGGGGCTCCCTCCCCCAAAGGCACCTTGTCCCCCATGTTGATATGATGATGGGGATGAGGGCCTCTTCCCTACAACCATGGTCGGTGGTTGTAGGGGTCTGCGGGCGGGGGGCTTATTGGAATCTGGAAGCAGATTAACAAGGGATTTTTTGTCCCTAGATCTCGCCCCCCCCCCCATGTGAATGAGTATTGGGTACATGGTACCGCTATTCATTCACAAAAAGAAAAAAGTGTAGTGTAAGTCTTTGACGAGTCCTTTCTTAAAAACGAAAAAAAAATCTCCCCTGAAGAAGATCTAACGTCAATCACAATGCCTGTTGCCACTGCTGACCCAAAAAAAAGGAAAAAAAAAAAATTCCCTGCTCACGATGCTGGCTCCCACCATCTGAAAGCTGCCCTGGGGTGACAGTTCTTGAATAGGGTAATGAAATCACAAAAGAGAAAAAGAACAAGAAAAAAAATTGCTCTGATCTCAACGCTGCCTCCCACCATCTGATAGCTGCACCGGGATGATAATTCATAAATACCATAATGATGTCACAAGAGGGTGGGGGTCACCCTGCCCCCTTGTGATATCATCATGCGTGGTGATTAGCCAAAGCATTGCACCTGACCTGTGGGCAGGTGCATTGGTTTGGCCAATCACAATGCACTGTCAAGACTTAGTGCATCGTGGGGTGTGGCAGGTGAACATCAAACACACGAACGGCCCATGTTCGAGTTGAACATAAGCCCGACCCTACCTGACCCTACCCACCTCACCCTTTTACTCAGAAGGACTTTAGTTCTGACTGCTCCTTGGCATTCTGGAAACAAGCCAAATATAATTGGGATAGTGATCTGTTCCTGGGCAGTTATAGTAGACTTTCTCTCTGGTCCCACTGTGAATCGCTTCAATCGATCTTTGTCTAGCCATTTAGAACCTGTCTAGAAAAAAAATGTCCAGTACAACATTGTTGACTACTTTTGTCATCCTGTTTGGCATGATCTCCTCCAGTCACTTTCAGAAACTTCCTAGCTTCAAACCATTTCCTCTGGACCAGCTTCCTAATAGTGATAACAGCAGACCACACGTGTGGTGTATGGTGGCACAGCCACTTATAGTCTTGACCAGGGATCTGTGAGACATTGGGGGAGATTTACTAAAACTGTTGCACTCAGAATCTGGTGCAGCTGTACAGGTTCCATCTTCAGCATGTTCTATTAGAGTGTTACTAAACCCAGGACCCTGCATTCACTATATCTGACCTCCCACAGTACACAGAACATGGAAATGCAATTATTTTAGTCAATACAAACTGCTAAATATCTTTTCTCTTCAGAAGTTAGAGCAGTCTTGTGACTTCTATCAGTGTCCAGCAGAGCACTGGTTACAGCTTGTAGGAATTTTCTTTCTGCTCTAGGAGGATGTAGAACCCCTGACCTCTATCTGGGCAGTGCTGATTGGCCCTGTGATGATAACATGCACTCTCCCAAGAAAAAAAAAAAACACCTCTAGCAATACACACCAAACTGAGCATATACATGTGATGAAGGTTCAGTCTGTCTTATCAGGTGGACATTTCAACAAGAGGAGGGGCAGAGAAGACAGGGTCAAACAGCGGTTTTACACAATGCAGAGGATTAACCCCTTAGGTTCCACAGTGAGTATAACAAGCACGCTTTACTGCATATACAGACTGATTATACTGTTGTGGGTTTAGTAACACTTTAAGCTTTGACAATAAAACCTGGAAGTTGATTGGTTTCTATGCAGAGCTGCACCAGATTTTGCACCCTTCAGTTTTAGTAAATAACCCCAGTGTGACAACCCAGAAGCATAATAAGGAGAGTAATCCCAAATGTAATCCAAAGAGCTATTCATTCTGTGAAACTGTGTGTACAGTGGATATAAAAAGTCTACACACCCTGTTAAAATGTCAGGTTTCTGTGATGTAACAAATATCAAAGATAAATCATTTCCGAACTTTTCGACCTTTAATGTGACCTATAAACTATACAACTCAGTTGAACAACAAACTGAAATTTTTTAGGTGGAGGGAAGTAAAAATAAAAAACTAAAATAATATGGTTGCATAAGTGTGCACACCCATAAACTAATACTTTGTTGAAGCACCTTTTGATTTTATTACAGCACTCAGTCTTTTTGGGTATGAGTCTATCAGCATGGCACATCTGGACTTGGCAATATTTGCCCACTCTTCCTTGCAAAAACACTGCAAATCTGTCGGATTGTGAGGACAGATTTGAGCACAGCCCTCTTCAGATCACCCCACAGATTTTTGATCAGATTCAGGTCTGGGCTCTGGCTGGGCCATTCCAAAACTTTCCTCTTCTTCTGGTGAAACCATTCCTTTGTTGATTTGGATGTATGCTTTGGGTTGTTGTCATGCTGAAAGATGAAGCTCCTCTTCATGTTCAGCTTTCTAGCAGAAGCCTGAAGGTTTTGTGCCAATATTGACTGGTATTTGGAACTGTTCATAATTCCCTCTACCTTGACTAAGGCCCCAGTTCCAGCTGAAGAAAAACAGCCCCAAAGCAGGATGCCAAACATATCTTTTGGAACTATGGCCAAAAAGTTCAACCTTGGTTTCATCAGACCATAAAACATTTTCCCGCATGCTTTTGGGAGACTTCAGATGTGTTTTTACAAACTTTAGCAGGGCTTGGATGTTTTTCTTCATAAGAAAAGGCTTCCATCTTGCCGCTCTACCCCATAGCCCAGACATATGGAAAATATGGGAGATTGTTGTCACATGTACCACACAGCCAGTACTTGCCAGGTATTCCTGCAGCTCCTTTAATGTTGCTTTAGGCCTCTTGGCAGCCTCCCAGACCAGTTTTCTTCTCATCTTTTCATCAATTGTGAAGGGATGTCCAGTCCTTGGTAATGTCACTGTTGCGCCACATTTTCTCCACTTGATGATGACTGTCTTCACTTTGTTCCATGATATATCTAATGCCTTGGAAATTCTTTTGTACCCATTTCCTTACTGATACCTTCTAACAATGAGATCCCTAAGATGCTTTGGAAGCTCTCTGCGGACCATGGCTTTTGCTGTAGGATGTGACTAAGAAAATGTCAAGAAAGGCCTACTTAAACAGCGGAACTTTATTTGGGTGTAATTAGAGGCACTGTAAATGATGGCAGGTTTACTGACTCCTATTTAACATGATTTTTAATGTGATTGCTTCATTCTGAAACACAGCTACATCTCCAATTATAAGAGGATGTGCACAGTTATGCAACCACATTATTTTAGTTTTTAATGTTTACTCCCCCCTTAAAAGATTTCAGTTTGTTTTTTAATTGAGTTGTGCAGTTTATAGGTCACATTAAAGGTGGAAAATGAATTGATTTATCTTTGTCTCGTTTTTTTACATCACAGAAACCTGACATTTTAACATGGGTGTGTAGGCTTTTTATATCCACTGTACATTTGTTCTTTTCAAATGGGGCCAAACTGAAGGTTAGACTATTTTTTCTCCAGGACAAATGTTATTCATTCATACAGAAGAGTGAAGCAGAAACATGCTGCATTATGGCCACTAGCTAGAGCTAAGAATATAGTTGCATACTTAGTCTGGCTGAAAAAAAGTACATCCAGGTCAACCATTAAAAAAAAAACAAAAAACTTTATATTCCTACACCCACAGTTGATCCAGAGGAAGGCAAAAAAACCCAGCAAAGCACGATCCAATATGCTCCTGCAGGGAAAAAAATTCCTTCCTGATCCCCCGAGAGG